AGCATGCTGGCTGGGGAATTCTGGGAGTTGAAGTCCACATCCCTTAAAGTTGCCAAGGTTGAGAAACACTGACATAGACAGAACTTCTCCAGAATGATCTGTCCCCAACCTGGCTCATTGCTGTAATCAACTCCAGCCTACAGGTAGGAAGCATGTCACCTCTGCTCTCGAACCCATTTTCCCCCTTCCCTAAATCCCGGCCCCAGGCAATACTGAATGATAAAAGCACAAATGGGTAGATTTGCAGGTGCATTTTTATTTTTATTTTCTCTTTTGGGGGGGGGGGCATAATAAATCTGCAAGAACCTTAGTACAATTTTCTTCAGTAACTCACTCTCCCCAACACTGCAAAATAATAATAATAAAAAATAATAATAGATCATAGAGGCCGATCATTTCCAACCCACAAGCTCCAATGATCTTGCTACATCACCAGCAGGCCTGATGTGATCTTCTGGGGTGGAAAAGAGTAATATTAATTTAAAAATCCAGCCATGGCTAAAGAAAGCCCCTCTTCCCTATTATAAAGAGATCTCAACCTCAGGGAAGAAGGCAGCCCTGTTGCAATGCATGGAGACAATTTTAATTCCTATGAACTATGGAAGAGCATTCCCTCAAGGAGGCTGAAAGGGTTTAGCTGAATTAGCTTTTTGTTTAAAAAAAGGGGACTTTCTTAAAGGCCTAGCCTTTATCCGTATTTATTTACTTATTTATTTATGCAATTTCCATAGCCGCCCGTCACAATCCAAGTGATTCGGGGCAGTGAACAATTTCAATAATGAAAACCATTAAACCCATTACAAAATATTGCAAAGTACGTTTGAGTAAAGCTTGTCCAGGGCTGATCAAGGCAATAACTTACAATAAGTTAGAGAATTCCTTTCCTTGGTTGCTGCTGTATACAATTTACACACACACACACCCTTCCACAGCCAGAGACACACACCTGTAACAGCCTCTCCAGGTGTATTTGAGCATCTGGCAGTTGGCTGAATGGGGGCTGTTTTTAGTAAAATAATGACATTCTAGAGGACCCGAGTGAAAGTTTACAGTAGAAACAGATATGTAAACTCTAGCAAGAATTTTGCATTCCCTTCAGCTGCCTCTTTCCACTCCTTGTCTGTTCTATTAGGAAGTACCCAAACAAATACAAAGAAAAAAGACCAGAGAAGGATTAAAACTTTGCCAGAAATGTCCACCTTGGATGAATCAAAACAACTCTTTTGTTTTCTGGTTGTTGAGGTTTTTTATTTTTTTAATATCACCAATATTTTCAGCTGTTATCTGAACGACTGGATTTAAACTTGTCTGTTGATTTGGATTATTTTTTAATGAAGCCTGTTTTAAATATAATTCATATTGTTTATTTTTCATTTATTGAAGTAGCAGTAGCTTCATTTATGTAATCCTAGCCATTCCAAAGATCTCAAAAGAACGGCTGTGTTAGAAATGGGTTGGGAATTATGGGTGACTTAAAGCCTAGATTCTCCCTACCTACAAGGCAGAGAACCGGGGACCCTCCGAATGTGGCTGAACTACAGTTCCCAGCAATTCCGGCCAGTGTGATCGATGGTGAGAGTTGCCAGAGGTTTTGTTCCCCAATAGTTGGAGGGCTCCTCAAATTCCTCAACCTGATCCTTACAGGATTTGTCTTCTGCAGAGAGGAAGTAATCTCGTTTTCAAACACGCTATATCTCCTTCCGATTTTAACCCAGGAATAAGCAGTCTCCCCGCTGCCCTGGTGTTTCAGACTAACATTCATGAAACTATGGGAACTGCAGTTGCAAACATCTGGCAGTTTGACATACAACTCCCAGAAGGCTAAGAAAGTAAGAAGGTAAGAGATGCTGACAGTTGTACTACAGCAATTTTCAGGGTCCTGCAGGTTGCCTGTCCCTCCCCTGACCTCTCTACTCCTTGCAATGAACAGCCATGCCTTATTTTATTGTGCTTCACTTTATTGGGCTTTGCAGACATTGCATTTTTTTGGCAAATTGAAGGTTTGTGGCAACCCTGCGTCGAGCAAGTCTTTCGGTGCCATCTTTGCAACAGATTAGCATTTTTTAGCAATGAAGTATTTTTTAATTAAGGTATGTACATGTCTTTTAGACCTAATGCTATTGCACACTTAAGAGACTACAGTATAGTGTAAACATGACTTTTATATGCCCTGGGAAACCAAAAAATTCGTGTGACTCGCTTTATGGCGATATTCGCTTTATTGCGGTGGTCTGGAACTGAACCCGCAAGATCTCCGAGGTATGCTTGTATCTTTTTCATTCACCCAACTGATGATTTATGAGAAATATCCCTGTTCTGGAGGTGAATTGTTCTTCGGTTGCGCAACTGTTACTACAGAGCTGAGGCAGGGGATTCTCACCGCTTTGTCAGATGTCGTATAGCAGTGTTGTCCAAACTTGGCCACTTTAAGATGAGTGGACTTCAACTCCCAGAATTCCCCAGCCAGCCATGC